TTAATTAGTTGCTTCATACAGTATTGATGTTTTGTTTGGGTCAATGCAAAGACAGTATATAACTTTATAATCATTAATTTACACGTTTTGAGTGATTGTGCATCCCTCAAAATAAATTAGTATGAAGCATGGCCATTTCGATATTTGTGAATAGTTTCAACTACGAATTAAAACATTTTTATAAAATAACTCTTTTTGGGTCAATGCTAATTAAATAACCTTTATAAATGTTTTTCCCTATATATATATATATATATATATATATATATATATATATATACAAACTATAAGTTAAATCTTCTCTAGTTAATGACTCAAATTTTATGTCAAACTACAGAAGTAGTTCAGATAATGAGAGTTTAATCTTTTTTTGATCAAATGAGAGTTGTTTAATTAAAGTGAATTTGTCTGGTAAAACCATTAAAAAAACTTAAACTAGCTAAGTAATAATCACATACGTTATTCTGTATATTTATAAATTACTGCAATTTTATCGTTTTCACATTTTCTCTTTAATCTTACTCACTTTTTATATTCTAAAATAATCATTTTTCAAATTTTAAATTACATATAGAGCATAGTTTTTTAAAACATAATATGTTTTAATAATTTTAATATGAATATATATTTTTACTATTTTTTTGTTTAATGTTGTAATAACAATATTACATTGACTTATTCCATTCAATAAAATATGCATACATTATATTATATATAGTATGATAATAAATAATAACACATAATTTATATTTTTTTGTTTTGTAAACATTAAGTTTTGTGAATATATCAATCACGTGGCACATGCAAATTTTTTTTTTCCCTCCTCTCTAATATTATATTTTTATTTTATTCTCTTGTGAAGATTTACTATACTATTTTATTTTATCTTATAGATATATTATAGTATGTTAAACCTCTTCTTCCTCTGTAGTCATACAATTATAGAATAGTAATTTTTTTTATTTCGGCACCATATCAACATATATGCTTTTTCACATAAAATACTTTACATTTAGATAGTCATCTCACAAACAAATAACTTTTTTCATATTATTCATTGTTCAAACTGCATTAAATTCTACAAATAAATAATATTGGGAGAATATATATATATTTTTTTTGGAAATGATCTGTTATATCTTAATATTATAAATAGAATTGTATTTAATTGTAGCGTGTGATATACGAAGCATACGTACTGTGAAATAATACAATGTCTATTTAGATGAGAAATTGACACATTTTTGAAAACAAATTTATCTTATTTTGTCTGCTATTTATATCACAAATTCACTTTTAATTCAACCATTAAACCCAAGAAGAACACATCACTAGTAAAATCACCCGAAATGAAAAGGATGGAGGGGTGGACATAATTACTTGCTACGCAGTTTGTATTCATTACTTGATTCGTATTTGGCTCTTTAAGTCGAGTATTCGTTGTGTTCAAGTTGAATATCAAGTCTTTAATTTTAATTACTTGCAAGTACAAAACAAGTACCAAGTACTAAAATAAAAATAACTACTTGACATTGTTAGCTTGTTACGCATGAATTATTACTTGATTTATTACCTACTTTTTATTTTTAGACAAAAAATCTCCAAATTATAATAAAATTACTTGTTTATAAAATAAATAAATTATAAGTGATATATTCTAATTTTAGAGTGTTCTTTTAATTTTATATTTATCATATATCGATTTAAAACATATGAAAAGTGAATAAATATTTTTTATTAAAAACAGTTTAGATTATATTTATAATAACTAACTAATTTTTTCTTAAAAATGTATTCAACGTTTAAGTAGCTAAAATTAATAAACTATTATTAAAAATAATTATGTAATAATTTATAAATTAATTTAGAAGCAACAAGTATTAAAACGGAATACGTACTTGTAAGTATATCATTTTTTAGCAAATATTTAAAAGTGTAAATATTCATTTTTAATAAATCCAATATAAGTAAAAAAACTAAGCCAAGTATCAAACCCAGTATTAAACCCAGTACTAAAAATGACAAAAATATAAGTAAAAACAATTATTATTTGAACAAACTAAGCCAAGTACCAAACCCAGAATTAAACCCAGTACAAAAAAATGACAAGTAATTGGGTTATGCTCATACCTAAATGGTAGTCAGTAGTCATTGCATTCTTTTATAAGTCTCCGGGCAAAAGTAGTGTATATAGGTCCCATCTGGTGGGTCTGTCCAAAAGTCTAGCGGAATAATTAAATTCATGTCACACTAAAGTTATTTTCATTAATCATTCACGGTGTTATAAATACACGACCCACTGCGAAAATCTTTTTTCTTTTTTTTGTTCAAAATCTAAGTATAGATACTCTCTTCAACAAATAATTAAGTCAACAGATGTATCGGGATGTATCTATAGACTATAAAAAAAAAGACTATAGGTAGCCTAAAAATGTTCTCCTCTTTTCACGAGGTAACTGTAATAAAACCCATTTGTCCACAAGTAAAACAAACAAGAATCTATTTTTTCTATATATATAAAAGAATCTGTTTTTTTCTGATAAAAAAAAACAATTTGAATAGACCATTTTGAATGTAGATAGCGTTTCTTTTTAGCTCGAATTAGTTAAGGATATTTTTAAGAAAGATTTAAAATGCATAACAAAATAGCCCTTATAAGTTTGAAAGTAACATAAAAACGAACTACATTCATAAAAATGTCGATGCCTGATGCTTTTAAAAAGAAAGGAAAAGGAAACAATAATGTTAAACATTAAGCGAAGCATGTTCATAGATTCCTAGACTCCACCAAGTCTAAGACGCACTATCGAACTTATATTTCCAGTGGCTATATTATTTTATTCTTCTGTTATTTTATTGGGACTGGCTCTTTTAAATACAGTAATGGAAAATAAAACTTCAAATTTGATCTATAATGTTTGCTTCTAAGCTTATGGACTCCAGGGACAATCTGTTAGTTTCGCTAGCTTTTTGTCTCTGGGGGCTCTCTCAGCTCGCTGGCTTTGTATTCCTCTCTTGTAATGTTGTTCTTGATCAATGAAGTTTTACAGCGTTAAGAAAAAAAGGTTCAAATTTGATAAATAAAACGATGAAGGGATAGGAAGGGACAAAGGGTGATATCCACTAATATATGTTCCCTCCTCTTTTTAAAGCTTAATTACCTTTTCTTTTAATATTCTTGAGTTTTATCATCGAATGCATTCCCCAAGAAGTTGTCGGTTGTGCTTGCCATTTTCATGTGGGACACTTTCTGAATGTCCAAAGCCATACCAATTATTTTACGTGTACTATTATTATTATCTATAAAAGAAAAATACACTGATAAGATAAGACTATAATTTCACGTACACATAAACATTGCCGCTAACTTTTTCTTCTTTTCTTTGTTTTAATTTTATAGCTTATGAGGACAACGAAAGCAACAGAAGTGTTTGTTTCTTTATAAATGTTCCAACGCCGCTTGGGGTTGATTGATAGTAGTTAACTAATATAGTCGTCACATGGGTTTTGTGTCCCAACGTTTGAAACTCCCCTAAAGTCACTGTAAGAGACGTCACTTTTTTTGTAAAAATCCAAGGATATAATGGACTTAAAGCCCAATAGGCAATAGACGCCCCCCAACATACTTTCCTTATTGACTTTTTTTTTCTAATCTCATTGCATTTCATCTTTTTAACTCGGCAATCTTATGAAGAACCGGTGACTAATTCAACGCGTTTGATCACTATCTCCATTTTCCTTTTGAATTCTCTTCCTATTTTCTCTCTAGATATCTACGATTTTGTTTGGTCGTCTTACTTTCAGCTTTGGCATTGCTCATATGTGCCTTTGTTTCTAGATTGAGCTGGGACGTAAGTTTCCATGGGCTCTATAACTTCTAAACAAATTGTGTGTGTTTTTTTTTTCTTTTAATCCAGAAGTCTTTCATGCCCATAAAAAGACTAGATTAATCCCCAAATGGAGATTCATCTTGCGGATAATTATCTCTCTAAATATTAAATGGAGATCCCTTTGCTTAGCATTAGTATGAGAAATGATCCATCAACCATGATTTCATGATTTTCTTCGTTGGTATTTGTTATTAATTCTATCTTGGTCATATCCAAAAAAATAGTAGAAAAATCTTTACTTTACACTGAACCTAATACTCCTTATATTTCAAATTAATTGTTATTGTAGAAAAAAATCATTTCAAAATAAGTGTCGTTTAGAATTTTGAAACAAAATTTATTAGTTTTATAGTATAATATTTTATTAGATGAAAATAGTTAATTGTATAGATAATTGATTTTTATCTTGAAAATATATTAAATTAAATATATTTTTAATATGTGTGCAAAAATCTAGAATGAAAAGTAAAGTGAAATGGAGGGAGTATTATATTTCCTCATGTTTTAAAATAAATAATGTCTTTTTGTAACAACAATCAATTACCAATTAATCTGAAGTGTATTATTACAAAATAAAAGATGTTAATATAAAAGTTATAAACAATTAATAATACTAATTTTTACAGATTTATTTTCTTAAAACCATTTAATCTGGAACACAAAATTTCTAAAACAATATTTAAAAACTAAAATGAAACAGAGGTAATACTTGTTACTTTCAGATACGTAAATAAAAACAATTAAACGTCTAACTTAAGCTTATTGTGAACAAAACCTTAGTTGCTAATCACCAATTAATAAATCAAACTTCATTGAAGACGAAAGCAAAAAGAAAACATTTACTGATCCTACGTTTAATAAAGTTTTGGCACGTGTGAAGAAAAAAGCACCAATAGGAAGAAAATAGAAGTTCCCTCCCTCTCTCTCTCTCTCTCTCTCTCGCGGACGAAGCAACGACCAATCGAGACAACGTTGACCCTTTAAAATTCAACCTAAACCCAAAAGATCTCCTCTTTCGTCTCCTCCAATCTCGTACTATCCGTAAAGTCATCTCCTTTCTCCCTAATCCCGATCTCAAAGATAGAAACTTTATACATCAGATCTTGACGAATGGATAGCAGTTACTCTGCCATCTCCAAAAACAAAAACTCTTACGTCGAGTTACAGAAACAAACCGAAAAACCCACATCAAAGCTCCTTCCTTTCGATGAAGAAAGCTTCGTCAATGACCCCGACATCGGATCTAACCAAGGCTCCGGCATCTCCGGCGCCGTTTTCAACCTCACAACATCAATCATCGGCGCCGGGATCATGGCATTACCCGCCACCATGAAAGTCCTCGGCTTGCTCCTAGGTCTTCTCCTAATCGTCCTAATCGCGATCCTCTCCGAGATCAGCGTCGAGCTTCTCGTCAGATTCTCGTCCCTCCACAAATCCAGATCCTACGGCGAAGTCGTGGAGTCGGCGTTGGGAAAACCCGCTAGGGTTTTCTCCGAGATTTGTATTATCGTCAACAACGGTGGCTTCCTCGTTGTTTACCTTATCATCATGGGTGACGTCATGTCCGGTTCGCTAAACCACGTCGGCGTGTTGGACCAGTGGTTAGGTAACGGGTTTTGGGATCACCGTAAAGTCTTGATTTTGGTTGTTGTGGTTTGTTTTTTGGCTCCTCTTTGTGCTTTGAATAAGATTGATTCCTTGAGCGTCACGTCAGCTGCTTCTGTTGCTCTTGCTGTTGTGTTTGTTGTTGTTTGCTTTATTGTTGCGGCGATTAAGCTTGTGGAAGGAACTGTTGATAGGCCTAGGATGAGTCCTGATTTTGGGACTAAGGAAGCGGTTTTGGATCTTTTAGTGGTGATACCGATAATGACGAACGCTTACGTTTGTCATTTCAATGTTCAGCCGATTTATAACGAGCTTGAAGGTCGGACGCCTGAGAAGATGAATAGGGTTGGGAGGATTACGTCGGCGATTTGCGTTGTTGTTTATGCTTCAACTGCTGTCTCTGGTTATCTTCTGTTTGGTAAGGATACTGAGTCAGATATTTTGACTAACTTTGATCAAGATTTAGGGATTCGTTTCAGCTCTGCGGTGAATTACGTTGTTAGAGTTGGGTATATTCTTCATTTAGTTCTTGTCTTCCCTGTGATTCATTTCTCGTTGAGAGAAACGGTTGATAGTTTATTGTTTGAAGGCTCGCCTCCTTTGTCAGAAAGTAAGAAGAGATCTTTGGGGCTTACTGTGATCTTGCTGGCTCTTATTTACATTGGCTCGACGATGATACCGAACATATGGACCGCGTTTAAGTTTACAGGAGCAACGTCAGCGGTTTCGCTTGGTTTTACGTTTCCTGCTCTTATAGCGTTAAGGTTAGGGAAGCAGAGTAATTCGTTAAGCGTGGTGGAGAGATATGTGTCGTGGTTGATGCTGATCTTGGCGGTGGTGGTTAGTGTTGTGGGGACTCTTGGCAACGTTTATAGTCTCAGAAGCAAATCAGATTGATACAGTTTGAGATTCTTAGTCTCAATACAGAATAGGAAGTCTTCAGTTTTGTGACTGCTGCATGCACACACCTTTAGGGTCCTTAGATTTCATCATTACCAGTGACTTCTATGTATGTATACAGACCAAGATTCTTATTGATATATACACGCTGTTTTTTTAAAAATGATTTCTCTTTATGACTTTGATTCATTATCTTGTTCTTTTGTGTATTCTTGGACCGTTTGAGGATTAGGATTCACTATGAATTTTACTTGAAACCGAGTTGGTTTACATTTAACCGGGTTTAAATCGAGTAGGTAGTTGTTAGAATGATTCAGGGCTTCGGGATTTGATGTAGTTTTGAATCTAAAGCAAAGTAACGAAACTTGAGTTCGACTTAAAGGTTATCAATAAAGATGTAGTACCCTTCTTTATTACACAACTTTGGTAGTTTGGTTCATGACCAGAAAAAGGTGTAACATTGACTGGAGTGGAGTATAATGATTGAACAACTTTACCTCAGTTGTTTATGCAAAATTTTCTAATTCAATTCTAATCGTCGGTTGTACTAAGAACAATGAATGTATGTTCTAACCAACCAAATATACGAGCGAGATGGGAAGTTAGTATGGTCGTCAATCAATAACCTTAAACCATATAATATGGCCAAACCGAAAATTGGAGTGGAAGCTAGCTAATGGCTGGTAGTGCATTTTAAATTCTACATGCTTCATGAGTCATGGACCCGTGATTCCCAATCGTGTCTTTTATCTATCTCTATCAATAAGTTTGAGTGTGTAACTGTTAGACATGTTTATTCAATATTCGGATTGTGATGGATGGGTGTTTTTCATGATTGCATCCACTCGTGTCTATGTTTTTGTAATCGCAGCAACATTCGTTAATAATGGCTCACAAGCTCAATAATAATTAATCTTTCTTCTTTTTTTTTTGATCAAAAATTAATCTCTCTTTTTTATTTGTAACTTAAAATTATTTTTTCTCCTTAATTCAAAAGCCAAGCTGATGATAACATTAAAAATGTGTTTATATTCATTGACTTCAGTAATAAATAATAACCATACAATTTTGTTTGACCACATAAGCTGAATATTAATTTCCATATACACTAGTATTTTCATATGGTTATTAGTTGACCTAAATAAGAAGATAATACTAAGTATTTAGTTAATTAATCCACATTATATTATGTTTGTCAACAAACATTTATTCAACTCAATAGAAGCTAACAATTTTTATTTAGCTTAATAACGAAGATAATCTATAATACTATTAAATATTAATATACTATGCCATGAAGTATTTTCGTAATATTATAAAGCAGCCTTCACTACATTTCTTATAGAATTGAGCATCAGCATCAGCATCTATCTCTTATAATTTTTGAATTTAAATATCCATATAACTTCAAAGAAAATCAAGAAAAGAATAAAAACTTATAACGAAAACCTTACTATATATTTGGAATTGTTTTGTATAAGAAATACAACATTTACAAATTTATTTTCCAGATGATATATCACAGAAAATTGCAGATCAATCAAAATAATTATAAAAATATATAACAAAATTTGTTTATATTTTCCATTTTAATTTTTATTTGAATGTGAATTTATATATGTTACTAAAATGGTTCATTACGTAGCATTCTTGTATATTGTTGTAAAATAATTTTGATATAAACGCACTGGTTCATCAAAAGATATATAGTAATATTTTTAAATGGAAGAATAGTAGTATAACATGCACAAAAGATAGTGACCCAAGTAAAGCAAGATATGCAAAGCAGCATTTTCACACACCGTGATTAATGGACACAACACCCACACAAATTCAGCCTTCTCCATGTGTTAACACATACACATACTTTCACAATGCTAAAGATGTGTGAACTTGTTTATTTATTTATTTTACTTAACTTTGACCCTTTCTAATTTCACTTTTGGTCCACTTTAGTCCATCGTTTACCCACCTCACCAAGTAATCACCCCACAACTTTACAAAGAGTCAAAAAGAACCCTAACCGTCTCTCCTTTATATATACAAACCACTTTACCTTCCCCCAAAAACCACACTCTCATCTCACCAACAAAAACTTTTTCGTCTTCTTCGTTTACATAGTAATGGATTGGTTCTCATGGTTATCAAGAACGAATCTTGAAGACTCGCTAATCTACGAGTACGGACTCTCCTTCTCCCACAACGAGCTAGAATACGAAGACATCGCTTACTTCAACCACGAGTTTCTCCAGAGCATGGGGATCTCCATCGCCAAACACCGTCTCGAGATCCTCAAGCTCGCCCGGAGAAACAAGAAACCGTCTCCGTTAACCGCTCGTTCGGTTTCGAGAGTCTTGATCGCGATTAGGAAGACAGGGAAGTGCTTCTCCGAGTACGTTAGGGCGTGGATCCGACGGGAAGAGTCTTCGAGAGCTCTGGTGGTTGTGCCGAGAAGTAACGGGAATGGGAGGTGGAAAGGAGGGTTGATGAAGAGGAGCAAGAGGTCTGTGACGCCGAGTAATGGTAATGGCGGTAAGGAAGAGAGGCTTTTGTTGACGAATGGGACTCCGTGTAGGCTTGAAAGCTTCTCGAGTTCTGCGGGTTTGGAATACGGTTTGAGAGAGGAGGAGAAAGGTTGTGACGTGGATGAAGAGATTAAGTGGGATTCTATGTTTCAAAATCTGAAACCTACTTGAAGTTTGATGATGATGATGAGTCAGGTAGATTGGTGACTTTTTAGAGTTCTTACACCAACATTTATGTATTTGATGAGCTGCTTTCTTTTGTTTGTGGTTTGTTTTGATTAGCTTTTGTTAATTTAGAATTATAGGTTTTATGTCTTGTTTAGATTTTCATCTGAGAAAAGACCCAACAGAGGATACTCTGTTTTTTCTTTCTTTCTCCATTTCTACTACATGACTCGTTTCTCTGATTACAAGATTTGTCTTTGGAGTGTTAAATCTTGATTTCTCAAAAGTTGATTGATCTATTTCTTGCCATATGACAATTGATTTGAACTGATCTAGTATGGGATGAAAAATGTTTCACTCCCACTCTATTTTTCACTTCATAATCAATTTTATTCTATTTATGCAATAATTTATTTTTTATTTATTCATTGTTCCAATATAAAATTAGAAATAGAGTATGATTTGAACATTTTTATTTCATTTACTTTATTTTGAAAAGAAAAATAAAATTTTACATTGGAGATGTTCTAACAAACCTCCTTTGTTTCTCTGTATTTGTTAAAAATGGACTAATACAAGCACATCAAACAGATACAAATAACATTACAACCTGATCAATAAGCCGTTACAGAAGGTTCTCCCTACCGGTTTTTAGCCGGTTAAGCCACAGTTCACAGCTAAATAACATAAGTTTACAAATCTTAGAATACACCCATCCTACCAAAAAAACATGCCGCAGGATACAATACAATACAATGCAAAGTAGATAATAGCATATCTATAACTTTTATTTTTTTCTAATATCATCTTCTCTCTCTCTCTCTCTTTCCCTGGATATATCAGTGACCAGCTGATTGCGGCTGCAACCTAAATGAGCCAGACGCATATAAAGCTTGATAGACCGGGCGAATTCTCACAGTCAATATAACAGTCAGCAGAGTTCCAAGGCCACAAACACCAGCTAGAACCAAGAACGTTACCCTGAAGCAATCAGGACCAATGCAGGTGGAATTCCCTTGCTTATCCGCTTCCTTGTCGTAGATGTATCCTGCAAGAAGGGCCGAGAATATGGTGGCTCCTATCGGGTTTCCCAAGAGTATGACGTTGAAGTTGATCCCAAAATGTCTAAGACCAAAGAGCTCCGAGATGGTGGCGATTGATAAGAACTGAAACCCCATGCCTATCCCTATAAGTGCAGTCGCCAGGTAGATTGTGTGGTCGATGGCCATGGCAAAGAGGAGGAATGTGAACACCATCATCAGCTGTGCAGCTCCCATCCATAGTGTTCTTGGAAGCGTTCTTGACCTGAGAAGCAAAAAGGAGAAGAGGTTAGAAACAGAGAGTTTCTGAGTAGTACATGAGATGAGATGAGAGAGATTCTTACTTGACAAAGTGCTCAGAAATGGCACCTGAAGCGAGACGGCCTATGAAGTTGAAGAAGCTAAAGAGGCAAAGCAGTATTGTTGTGTCTTTAATACCAAAAGCAAATCCAATCTGTGCCAAGTTGTTTGAGACAGTAACACCTGAACCCATACCAAGGAAATAGGCAAACCAAAGCAGCCAAAAATCTGCCTTGACAAAGATTTGACCAATCTTGAAATCCTCACCTCTCCTAGGCTTCCTCTTCTTCTTAACCGCACCTTCTCCCTCAGCCAAAAGTATCTCCATATCATCATCTCCTTCGAAGAGAGACCCGATGAATGAATCTGATGTAGAAGTTATCAGCAGTGGCTCTTCCTGTGTTGACTCACCTTCCTCTTTAGCTAGATTGTCTGAAGAGCTCTTAGCATTCGAACGGAACAGTGTCATCTTGATGGGAACCGCAAGAGGCGAGAACAAGAACAAAACCATGACAGCCACAAGAGCGTATCTAAGCACGCTTGGCAGTGTATACACCTCACTAACTACAGTCGTCACAACGAGATAAGCAGCGAGAAGGATACTTGTACCGAGGAGAAAAGCGAAATACATGGGCTCAGAAGGGTCTTCACCAGTAGCTGGAATACAAGGGCGGATAAAATACATGACAGCTAAGCATATAAGCGGAATACCAACAGTGAGAAACAGAAGCAAGTTCGAAGCTGAATGGTGAAGCAAGACGCTGAACAAGACGGTGAATGCTGCACCACTGATCCCAATGTATCCTTTGAGAAGTCCAGCCACAGGGCCTCTGCTCATAGGAAAGTTCCTCATATTGGTCACCAGAGATGCTGTCCCGAACCATGATGTGCTATTTGTGGCGAAAAACAGAGCAACGAATAGCTGAAAAAACAGAGTAATGAATATCTCAAAAACAGAGTAATGAATAGCTGAAAAACAGAGCAATGAATAGCTTAAAAACAGAGTAATGAACAGCTGAAAAACAGAGCAGTGAATAGCTTAAAAACAGAGTAATGAATCACTGAAAAACAGAGCAATGAATAGCTGAAAAACAGAGCAATGCAAACAAAACAAAGGTACTAACTTTATGAGTTTTAGTGATCAAAGATCTAAACTTTATGTAAACTAACAAGGATCTGATGCCTCTTACCAGCCAGAAAGACAAGCCGTGAACGATTTGGCTAACGGAGAGCCAGAGGACGCCGTAACCGAGGAAACAGGAGGAGACACCGAGGAGAAGCATCGCCCAAGGAGCAAGCTTGTTGCTTGCGTATCCAGGAAGTAGACCAAAGTTCTCTCCGAGATCACAAGCGACGCCGAGGATCGTGATCTGTTGCTGGTTAAACCCTAGAACTGATTTGAGTGCGGCGGAGTAAAGAGGGAAAGTTGAACCGTTTCCCGCCGACATCTGAACCCACGCGGCGGCGGCTAAACCCACCCACGGTGGTCGGCTTCCCGTCTTCTCAACCAGCTTCGGCATCTCCGATCTATCACTCTCTCTCTCTCTTTGTGTTTGTGTTCCTCTTCTCCCTTTTGTGATTTAGAACTGTTTTGCTTTAATGCAGAGAGGAGCTAAGTCTATATAATGTCACACTTTAATCTTCAGTCTTCATATTATAATGTTTTTTTTTTGCATATTTAATGCATATACGTTTTATATGAGTTCTTATTTTATTACAAAAGCGTGAATCTTGAGACGTTTTTACATTACTTTTGAAACTAATCATGTTTAGAAAATTAATTGCAAGTGGCTGACAAGAAAATTTAGAGCCGATTTATATTTCTATTATTGTTTGTTCGTACTATTTATGTTCTACAAAATCAAAAAACTAAAAGGGAAATTTATTTGTTTTAGTTTTATAGTCCGAGCAAATCAGTCGATATTTTTCATTTGTGAAAAACATAGGATTTTTTGCTTATTTAGAAGTTTATTTTATTATAATATACACATAAAGCGAAACGGAATGATTTGTTGTCATGCGTAGGTTTTGCACTGAACACGTGAGGTCATTGACTGTGTGGCTTTGGTCTTAACGACCTCGTTTCTTAATTACTTTAATCATCTAACCATTTGTTACAATTTAACGTATTTAGACAGCATACATCCTAGGAAGAAGATTCGCATAGCATTTTTTTTTCTTTAATAAACAGAAACAAAAACAATGCATCGAGTCAAAAACAGACAAATAAAGAGGATACGCAAATATCTTACCTATTTTAAAATGACAAAGACACGAGGACTTTGCACCGGCCTCAAGGCCACGTACTATTTTGAGTGATTTCACATTGTCATATCATGTAAGTAGATGTGACTTATTACTCGTAGTTAGTAGTACATTTAATTTGACATCACAGATGACATTCATTTCTGTCTCAAAATCATTAAATGGTTTGGTTTCTTTCTAACAAACCTACCCATCTCTCGACCATAAAACGTTCAACGTGTGTTGTTGATATATCTGTTGGTGGCTCGCCTTCTTTTGGTATCGCTTGCTCCTATCACCTTCGGAAAGAAGTTTAAGGTTAGGTTGCTCATCTTTCCTTGATTCCGTTGGTCAAGGATTAGGATGTTTCCAAGGACGATATTGTGTGGTTAGGATTCTCTTAGCTCTTTTCAGGCGGATCTAGTGAGGTTGTTTTGTTGGTGTTTGGTTCGTGTGGTCTGGTTTGATGGTGTTGGTAGAGGATTGGTATTGCAGTGTTTGTCTTTTAGCAACGGTGTTATCGCTCCTAGAACATTTACTCTTCTTTAAGGTAGTTTGGTATTTGTCTGAGTTTTGTAGTTGTTTCTAAACTTAATTTCTTTATTTAAAGCATATCATTGCCGCATGAAAAATTAAAATAGAACATAGACTGCACAATAATTTAAAACTTTTAATCTGGACCATAGACTTCTTATTTTGTGACTAAAATCAACCTAAAGATGAGTGAGAGAACATGACTGCACCAGAGAGTGCCACTAGGCCTGCTTGTGGCGTTGAAGATTGTCCTCATGTTTCAAGAAGAAGTGTTCAGGGTGGTGCTGTAATGTATAAAGCTCTGTAATTTGATCTGAAAACCGTGATCTTTATTCATGAATAACACTGGCTATATATAGCCTACAACTAGAAAGAGATAACTCTGAAACTTAAGCAAAGTAATAAGATAAACACCAACTTAAAGATAACACCAAAACCAAACTTTATCAAAAACGTTAACACCAAACGATAACTCCATCCTCCANTCTTTATTCATGAATAACACTGGCTATATATAGCCTACAACTAGAAAGAGATAACTCTGAAACTTAAGCAAAGTAATAAGATAAACACCAACTTAAAGATAACACCAAAACCAAACTTTATCAAAAACGTTAACACCAAACGATAACTCCATCCTCCAACTCTATCTCCTATATTCTCGTGATTCCATTTGCTCCAACAAACCCTCCCTAAACTAAGCTTGGTCTCCAAGGCTTAGCTTACTTGCAGCAGTGCAAATGCCAAGTCTTCTTCTCAGATTCTCGAACACTTCTCTTCGTAGTGGTTTTGTCATGATGTCTGCAATCTGTTCCTGTGAACCACAATGCTCCAATGCTATTACTCCATTGTTGACCAGTTCTCTCAAGAAATGAAACCGCACTCCAATGTGTTTACATCTTCCATGAAACACTGGGTTTTTAGACAACTTAATAGTCGAAGTATTATCACACCATATCACCGTTCCTTCTTCTTTGTGATGCCCCAACTCTTCCAAAATTCTGTTATACCAAACTACTTGACATGCGCAGACCGATGCTGCAACGTATTCAGCTTCAGTAGTTGATAAGGTGACGATCGGTTGCTTCTTAGATAACCAAGTGACAGCTGCTCCTTCGAATAGAAAGACATACCCTGAAGTACTCTTTCTACTTTCAACATCTCCAGCAAAATCACTGTCAGTAAAAACTTGTAGTTCACCCTCTCCTCCTCTCTTGTACCAAATACCGAAGTCCAACGTTCCTTTTAAGTACCTCAACACTCTTTTTGCTGCCAAGACATGGAGTTGAGTTGGCTTGGACATGTAGCGACTCAAAAGACTGACTGAGAACTGTAAGTCAGGTCGAGTATTTGTAATATACATCAGACTTCCGATGATCTGTTTATAAAATGTCTCATCTACACGTTCTCCCCCTTCATCCATATCAATCTTACTTCCAGGTACCATCGGATTACATACTGAGTTGCAGTTCTCCATATTAAAACGTCTTAGGATTTCCAGAGCATACTTTGACTGACAAATATGAATCCCATGTGATGTCTGCAAAACTTCAAAACCCAAGAAGTATCTCATCTTGCCTAGGTCAGTCATATCAAACTCATTTTGCATCGACTTCTTAAACTCTTCTATCATCTTGAGATTGTTTCCTGTGCAAATCAGGTCATCTACGTAAACACTCACCATCAAGATGTCATCGTGCTCTGTTTTCAGAAACAGAGTTTCTTCATTTTGTGATTTCCTGAACCCATCTTTGTCAAAGTATTCTTCAATGCGACTGAACCACGCCCTTGGTGCCTGCTTCAAACCATACAGCGCCTTGTCCAGTCTATAAACCTTGTCCTCATGCCCTTCTACTTCATACCCTTTTGGCTGTTGTACATATACTTCTTCTGTTAATACTCCATGGAGAAAGGCTGACTTTACATCCAACTGATGCACCTCCCAAGCTTTCTGTGCAGCCGTTGCTAGTATAGTTCTGATTGTGTCCATTCTTGCAACGGGTGCATACACCTCTGTGTAGTCTACTCCATGCTCCTGAGAATACCCTTTTGCCACCAAACGTGCCTTATACTTGCTTACTTCTCCATTCTCATTGAGCTTGGTTTTGTATAGCCACTTCACGCCAATACATTTAGCTTTGTCTGGTAAGTTTACTAGTTCCCAAGTCTCATTCTTTATTATCGAGTTCATCTCTGCATCCATAGCTTCTCTCCACCTCAAACTTTTCTCTGCTTCTTCAAATGTGGATGGGTCTGTGGGATTAATCTCCACCATATTCACCATGTGAGCTTCATCCTCCTCATCTTCAGCTGCACTTCCAGTCACGTAATCGTCCAAGTAATGTGGACGTCTCGTTCTACGTCCCTCCCTAGTCTGTACTACCTGCTCATTCGAAGCTTCTCCTGATACTTCTGCTGTTTGTTCTGGTACAGTCACTGGTGTCTCTTCATCGCTACCTTCTTCTTCACTTCCTTCCCAACTCACATTGTCATCATTCCAGGTGAGAGTAGATTCTGGTTGATCATGTTCTTCTTCCCAGTTCCAGCCCTTCTTCTCTTCAAATATCACGTCTCTGCTTATTACAATCTTCTTTGTCGTTGGATTGTAAAGTCTGTATGCTTTTGATTCTTCAGAGAACCCCACTAGAACACATTCCATGCTCTTATCATCAAGCTTGCTTCGCTTCACATCAGGTATATGAACATGACCAACACTTCCCCACACGCGGAAGTGCTCAACACTTGGTTTGATCCCATTCCAAGCTTCTTGAGGTGTGACATTCTTAACAGCAGTGGTGGGACATCGATTTAGGACATAAAATGTCCAGTTTGCAGCTTCAAGCCAGAAGTATTTTGGCATTTTCTTAGCTGAGAGTAGTGACCTGACCATGTTCATTACGGTTCGATTTTTCCTCTCTGCAATCCCGTTCTGCTGCGGTGTGTAAGCCGTTGTCAGTTGTCTTCGAATCCCTTTCTCTTTGCAGAATTCAGAGAACTCATGTGATGTGTACTCTCCTCCTCTGTCGGTTCGCAGACACTTTATGCTCTTACCAGTTTCAGTCTCCATCTTCTTCTTAAATTGTACAAATTGAGTGAATGCCTCTGACTTCTCACTCAAGAAATACGCCCAAGCTTTTCTACTATAGTCGTCGATGAAACAGAGTATATATCTCTTCCCACTTGGAGACGTGGGACTAATGGGCCCACAGATGTCTGAGTGCAGCAGCTCGAGTGTTTCTTTGGCTCTCCATGTGCTCTTTTTCGGAATGGGTTTCCTTGGTTGCTTCCCCACCAAGCAATCTGGGCAAGTAAAGTTCTGAGCATCAAACGTTGGTAACCCACGCACCATTTCTTTGCTCTGTAGTGTCTTCATCCCACGATGACTTAAGTGACCATAGCGCTCGTGCCACAGCATCGGTACTTCATCTGCATCTACCTGAAGACACTGCTGCTTTGATCTCTCAATGTCACTGGTTTGATCTATCAATACAAACATTCTGTTTGGGCTCATACTACTTTCTGCAATCAATCCTCTTTCATCGTGATAAATCTTGCATCTCCTCTTCTGAATGACAATGGCAATGTTCTTCTCTTGTAGCTGTCCTAGACTCAGTAGATTGTTCCTTAGTTCTGGAATATAGAAGACTTCACTGATGGTGTAGCTTGTGTTTCTCAGTACTATCTTCACGCTTCCTTTACCAACAACCTCCATCTTCTTGTTGTTTCCCAGCTTCACTGAGTGCTTGAACTTATCATCCATCGTTGAGAATAGTTCTCGATCTCCACTCATGTGATTTGAGCATCCTGAGTCAAGGAACCAAGTCTTCTTTCTCGTCTCCTCACGTGCATCTGAGTGAATTGCTAGTGCTTGGTCAGTGATGATCTCTTCATTGTCTTCTTCGTCAATGTATGCCATGAGAAGCATATCCTCATTCTCCTCTGTGTAATTTGCTTCTCCTTCCCACGTTGGACACTCATATTGAAAGTGGCCAAGTTTATGGCACTTGTAACACTCAACTGTGCTCCTGTTTGTGGTACTGCGACCACGTCCTCTTCCTCTACCTCTTCCATTAAAGCCTCTTCCTCTGTTTCCCATTCCTCTTCCTTGAGTCATCAACAACTTGTCATCTTCTCTTTCTGGTTTCCTGAATTTTTGTTCATGGACCACCAGAGAACTCTGTAGTTCTTCCAGTGTGATGTTCTCAATTTCCTTGGACTCCTCTATGGAGACCACAACATACATAAACCTTTCGCTCAAGGTCCTGAGAATTTTCTCTACTACCTTCACGTCTGGCATCTCCTCTCCGTTACTTCTCATCTGGTTTGTTATGGCCAGAACTCTCTTGAAGTACTCTTCCACCTTCTCAGAATCTTTCATCTCCAATAGCTCAAAGTCTCTTCTGAGCTTTTGCAGTAACGATCTCTTCACACGATCGTTTCCACCAAATTTCTTTTTCATTGACTCCCAAATAATCTTGGATGTTTTTCTGTCCAAGATTTGTTCAAACGTTACCCTATCAATGGATTGATACAGGTAATGTTTGACCTTGTGATCACTAGTCTTGTTGCTTTCAAGACGATCTCTCTCTTCAGTTGACAAATTTGTTGCATCCGTTGGTTCCTCATAACCGGGCTCAATCACGTTCCATAGTGCCTTGGCTCGGAAGAAATTCTCCATCACTTCGCTCCAGTGATCCCAATGACCATCGAACTGTGGCAACTTCATCTTGTCATCTCCCATCTCCTCCGGTTGTCTTTGATAACACAGGGCTCTGATACCACTTTGTAATGTATAAAGCTCTGTAATTTGATCTGAAAACCGTGATCTTTATTCATGAATAACACTGGCTATATATAGCCTACAACTAGAAAGAGATAACTCTGAAACTTAAGCAAAGTAATAAGATAAACACCAACTTAAAGATAACACCAAAACCAAACTTTATCAAAAACGTTAACACCAAACGATAACTCCATCCTCCANTCTTTATTCATGAATAACACTGGCTATATATAGCCTACAACTAGAAAGAGATAACTCTGAAACTTAAGCAAAGTAATAAGATAAACACCAACTTAAAGATAACACCAAAACCAAACTTTATCAAAAACGTTAACACCAAACGATAACTCCATCCTCCAACTCTATCTCCTATATTCTCGTGATTCCATTTGCTCCAACAGGTGCAGCGTCTGTATCTTTTAGACAAAGACATGTCATGGATATATTGAGATCGCACTGCACTACGCGCTCATATCTTAATATCATATTACTACTGTTAAGTGTGAAAATGCGAGTAACTAAACTTTAGAATTTCCATTTCCATATAGAAATACAAACGCAAAAAAAAAAGAAAAAAAAAATACATAAAAATTGAAGCAGAGGTGGTTGATATCAGGGAGAATGAGATCTATCGCTACGATTAGCATCAAGGTAAGACTGAGGTGGAATGAAGTAAGGGGCAGTGAAATTGTGAAAACTACTTGTCATATACTTATCATCACCGAGAGTGAAAATCCCACGTTCGTTTTTGTCAACGAAATAAATAGAGTTTTTGCGTTTCTGGTGGGAGCTAGCCTTGAGACAGAAAGGTTCAGAATTGGAGAGGAAAATGCAAAGATCCCCAATGTTTTTAGTGTAATACCAAGAAGCAGAAGAACTGCTTTGCTTGAACACCCATATTCGATACTCTTCCATCCTCCCACCCTCGTAGTTATTTCTCCATCTGAACCGCTTAACCATAAACATTTCACCCGTGGTACGTGACTCCACCAACTCCACGCTCCTGCAACACGACTCTAATCTTTCCCATTCAGACATCAACAACTCAGGAACGTTACCAAAATAAATCAACTCAGGATTGAAACCGGGGAACCGCTCATTCTTTGGTATCTTCAAGTCCTCTCCACCAAGGTCCCAGTATCCAATGTGTGTGCCCTCTTCCGAGGGCATGGCGAACTTTTTATCTCTCTTGGAATACATTACACGGGAGGAGAAGAAGCCTGTGTCTTCAATTTTTATATTGACCCATTCTTTTTTCTTTTGAGCGGGTCTACAAAAGCTGAGTTGGGGCCCAGCGAATTTGACGGCTAGAATGCAATCTTTGTCATGAGGAGAAGAGGTTGACATGGCCACATTGGTTACAAGTTTGGTTTGGCAATGAGGAAGCGTTACCAAATCAGGGAGTACGATTGTACATTCATCTGATTCAGACACTACCGGGTTGAGATCATTTGTAAGACATGGAGTACCGTCGCAATCTAAAGTAAATGCCCAGCCATATGATGCTCCCGCAGTTCCCGTTTCACTCATCAAGGACATTAGCACCGTCTTTTCCAAAACCATGGTCCTACAACTAGGCCCCGAATAATCTGTAATCATCAGTCTGCCCATGTTTGAATATCTCCATTTATTGGCATGATCATTTTCACAATGTTCAACGCCGTAGATGTGACATAGAGGGGTTTCCGACAAGAAACGAACGCCAACTAGGTGTCTCTAAAAACAATAAAAAATAAGAACAAACAAAGTATTAAATTAAAAATCAAAGACAAGAGAGAGTGTGGCTTACAACTCCTAGCACTGGTGGTTTCTTCAGACATAGCCTAGAGAGACGGTTGAGAATCAGAGAACTCATGGTGTTTTTTTTTTGTGTGATGCAAAAACCCTAATTGAAACAATGGTAATAAAGACTTTTGCAAAATAAAAAGAAGGTAATAAAGATGAATAGCATTGCTCGCCAAGTCTTTCCATAACCAAAGTCCATCCATAACTCCTTTCACCTTTCTGTAATAATAAATGTCTTGTAATTAATAACGACTAATAAAACAAAGACTAATTCTTGGGTTCATCCCATAGGGTGAATCTAGAGGTTCACCATTCAATAAATTATATTATTTCAGATTTGATATCTTTTTAACAAGGAAACAAAATCTTATTAAGTTATATTATGTTTTTAAAAATAAAAATATAAAAATAAATAAAAATAATAATAATTAATAAAAACAAAAAATAATTCTTTTTAAAGAAAATATTTTAACACTAAACCCTAAAAGTTTTATGTTTATGATTTACCCAAGGGTTTAAGGTTTAGTATTAGAGTTTAGGGTTTAGTGTTTATGATTTACCCAAGGGTTTAGGATTTATGATTTATGATTAGAGTTTAGTGTTTAATGTTTATAATTTACTCAAGGGTTTAGGGTTTAGGATTAGAGTTTAGGGTTTAGTGTTAAAATATTTTTTTTTTAAGAATTTTTTTATACAAATTATTCAAAGGTTTATGATTTACATAGGGGTTTAGGGTTTAGGATTAGAGTTCAGGGTTTAGTGTTAAAATATTTTCTTTAAAAAAATTATTTTTCGTTTTTATTAACTATTATTATTTTTATTTTATTCTTAAAAACATAATATAACTTAATAAGATTTTGTTTCCTTTTTTAAAAGATATCAAATATGAAATCCCCTATATATTAATTGAGAAACATTTGAAAAATTGTAAACTCAATTTTGTAATAATTAAAAAATAGTCCATGCTTACGTGTCACTCAATTAGGTAGTCAATTAGATTCAATTGAAAAATAAGTAGGTCCACATTCGATTTTTATATGTCGCTAGATATATTTGTTGGTCAAACTATATGATATGATATTTATGATAAAAGCATTTATGATGGTCCTGCTAGATATAATTACTATTTTATTTTCTTTCCTTAAATAAAAGCTACGGAATTACCATAAATGACAAATATATATATATATATATGCAATTAATGTTTCTAATAATAAATATTTGATAACAATTTGTATCTCCTTCATCATTTTTCTTTAATTTTATATTATTAAAATAAATCAAACAATCAAATTAGCTATAAAATTAAACTTTAGATTTTTTTCCGTATATGTTATATTTTGAAATTTAAAAACCAAGTATAAATGACTAAAACTATTAAAATTATTATGTTAAAAATTAATGATCAATAGTTTAACATTTTTATTATAAAAAGATACACATGATTTTAAAACCATATGAGTAAAAAGTATCATTGAATAATAAAAAAAAAATATATATATATATATATATATATATATATATATATATATATATATATATATATATTAAACTATATAAATTATAAATTTTAATGAATTTTCAAGAACATTTATAAATTATAAGCGTATTAAATTTTTCACATTGAAAATTTTTGTTATCAATGATTTAAATATATTAGTTCTTTTTTTAATTTTCTATTTTTTTAAAGATATTAACACAATCGATAATATGATTATTTTTGGTATATACCATACAAACCGAATGTATGTGATTTTATAAAAACCGTAAGATTTGGATATGGTTTGATTTATAATCGATTAAACTGAAACATGTAAATATGTATATCTATTTGTTACATGAGTTGAGCTATAATTATGATTTGTAAATCACTTGAATCACTTGAAATATAATTAACTAACAATTTAATGCAACTGAGGCTTCTTATTTTTTTCGTCTTTTTTTATTTTTTTAATAAAAACTAAATTGAAGTAAAAATTATAAATTTTATGGACAACAATTAGTTGAAATTATTTACAATTTTTTTTTTAATATTTAAACAAAAAGAGTTGTGTTCAATCGAAGACATATTAATTTGATGAACACTAAATATGGAAGAATATAAAAAATTTTCTTTTATGCTTCTGTTTTGTTTTTATTTTTATTTTCAAAAGAGATTTGATATTAATTCTAGATTTGATAATTTTATTAGATCATAGAAGCCTTTTTTGTTTTTTATTCTTTTAGTTAAATATATAATATTTTTTAGTAAATGACTTTTTGACAATATGACTCTAAATATGATCATATTATTTATTTTTATAATATATAATATGATTTCAAACTAAATAATGATGTATTTTGGTATAAAATTGAATAAACTGAAAATCAATATATAAACCAAATCAAACTGAAGTAAATATGGATTTAGAATAGTAGTTATATTTTAATAATCAAAATACTGAAACACTATATCCAGATTGAACATCCTTAATCTAGATGAAACCGAACTTTTGTTTTATTTTCCAAAACATAAAAAAAATAATAACTTCATCCCGCACAAGACGTGGATCTTATCTTAGTAATTCAATTATATTGGATGGTGAACCTAAGAATAACTCTAAAACAAATTGATTTTTATTTCTTCATCACAATTCTTCCTTCTGCTGCCTTTCTCACCAAGTCTTTCTATAAGCAAGCATTCAATCTCTTCCAACATTCTACACATATATAGTTTCTTGTATAGAATTAACACGATGGCCTTGCCTCTAAACCAGCAGAAACCACTTCCGACTCACAAAAATATCGACCATTAAACCTACGAATCCATTATTTAGCTAATATTATAACGATGAATAAAACACTAAAACTAATTTTATTTTCATAATTCCTCCTCTCTGTCGCTTGCGCTAAAAACATACATTTCTATTAATCTAGGCCGTAGTTTCCTTCTGATGTCAAAAATGGAAAATATATATTCGACCATATCGATTTAAATGTATACATACAACAAGTACGTGGAAATTTCTTCTCATCTCGCCACCTCAATCCAGGCTCCCAGTGTGACTTATTTAGCTCTCTTAACATTAGTCATACTACATATAATTAATTAACTAACAACAATCACAATGAAACTAGGAAGAGTTAATGTTGTATCATTTGTTATACTCAAACTCCAGACAACAGTTAAAAGTAAAGTCACACCATACAAAAGGAAGTTCAAGTGCGAGTGATAAATTTAGAGTTCCCATTGAAATTCAGTAAAGAAAAAGAAAAGAAAAGAAAAAACACAAAACTAATAGGTTTGAGGTGGAATGAAGTAAGGGGCAGGGAAAAAGCCATTTCCACCAACCCATTCATCATTCCCTAAATTGACTTTTCCATAGTCAAAGTCGCTCACGTAATAGATGCAGTTTGGGGTTAGGCCATACAAGTCAGCCTCTACACAGAAAGGTTCGCCTTTACTTGATAGAAAAATACAAAACTCTTTAATGTCATCAGTGGCTATGCATTCTCCACCCAAAAACTCGAACACCATGAAACATTTCGAACGCGGCACCCCATCTTCATAGCAGATATCTGTGTACCACTTAACTATAAAAGTTTGACCTGAGGGTGCTTCCACCAAGTGTTCGCTCCTGCTACACCTAGACAACTCCTCCATCTCCGACTGCACAAACTCTTTATGGCGTATATCTGTAAAGTCATGAGATCTGTCCATAAACTCTTTATAGGATCCAAAATCAAATCGATCACGAAATCTTTGGCTTTCAAAATCCCAAGATCCCGTGTGTGTGCCTCCACGACCCACCATGGAGAACATTTTATCTTTCTCTGAATACATGACACGTGACGAAAAGAAGCTTTGGTCTTTGATTCTGATGTTGACCCACTTTTCTTTTTGACAACCTGGTCTACATAGGCTGAGTTGGGGCCCCAAGAATTTAACGGCTAAAATGCATTCTTCGTCCCAAGGAGAAGAGGATGACATGGCGATGTTGGTTACCATTTGGGTTTGGCAATGAGGCAGCGTTTTGGGACAAGCCAGTGAGACTCGCTTCGGATCTGACTCCGAAGCGAAAGGGTTTAGATCATCTTGTAGACACAGGACTTGGTCTTTCAAAGTAGCTACCCAGCCTTGGGATGCTCCTATTCCTATGGTTCCCGTTGCTGTCATCAAATCCGTGGGAACCATCTTTTCCAAAACCTCGTCCTCATCCTCTTCCGAGGCGTTTACGTTGCGAACCACGAGGTTGCTGACTTTCTCATCCCTCGAACTATACCGACAGTTGTCAGCGCGTACGATGCGATAGATAGGGGTTTCGGACATGAACCGAGCGCCACATAGGTATCTTCTCTGCAAAGTAAAATAAGGTCAGAATTAGAAGAACAAGTATTACGATAAAGAGACAAAACAGAGAGAGTGGTTTACAACTCCTAACGCAGGTGGTTTATTATTCAGAGAGAGCCTCGAGAGACGGCTGAGAAGTAGAGAACTCATCCGAGTGTTTTTGGGTAATGCAAAAACCCTAATTGAAACATTGGTAATAATGACTCCTTTAGTAAAGATGTCTCCCCCTTGCTTCCCAAGTCTTTCCATAATTTATTTTTCGCCTTCATATTGTTCTCATTTCTACCGGTTAAATTTAGCTAATTATTATAACGATGAATAACATAATATTTCTTAATTTTATTTTCATCTTTCTTCCTTCTCCTGCCTTGCTCCCCAAGTTTTTTTATAATAGACTTGAATTGTAAATTAATACTAGATCATAACCCGTACGACTGGGCGGGTCTTTGTTTTTAAGGTATATATAAATAATTTAAAAATTACAATCTTACGGTTCCAATTTTACTAAGTAATAGTATATTGTTTAAACATTGTATTTCATCACTGAATTGTGTAACAGGACGTCGGTAAAATGTTGTGACCCGTAAATATTTTAGTAATATTTTATAAAGTTTTTTTGACTAAATTTGGTGAAAAATTATATACACTAAACAATTTAGTCAAATTTTTAAGTTCATTTTTAATGAAGAATTGGAATGCTAGTATATTAGTGTTAAAAACTTTTAACAATAGTCAATATAAATTATATAAATAAAATATATATTATTCTTGATTTATTCCACATACATTTAAAACACGAGTACACATATGTATACATAATTTTCAGAAATAAAATAATATCAAGGATAGAAAACCCAAAAACAATAATAATGGTACTTTGGACCGCAGTAATTTTTAGTTTAATAAGTAAGCCCATTAGATTTGTAAATTATCTTTGTTTCCAATCATCTTAATTTTAAATACTACTATTCATGTTTCCAAACACTTAATTTTGTACTTCAGCTTTAATAGTATAGATATTAGATTTAGGACTGATGGTTTTGGATTTACACTGCCAACAAAAATTAGCGATAGATGTGAAGACTGTAGAGAGTAGTGTTTCGGGACAGCACCGACGTTCAAAACAGATTAAACTAAGAACATATCCGGATTAAATAGATAAAAATGGATTTTGTTATAACATACTACGTTTTTTAAAAGAAAAAATATAGCTGAATTTATGAAAAAGCACTGCTACAAAATAAAAGCTTTTACTTATTTTTTTTACTTTGTTTATGTTTAACAACTTTTATAGTTATTTTTATTAACTTTGTAAATTTGTAACAGATAGTTAACAAATCAAGTAATTTAATCCTACTTTATTATTCTATGATTAAAATTAGTCAATCCCATCTCAATCCGGTCGAACCTCATCTGGTTTGGCTATCGAACCAGTTTTAGAAAATTCTGGATCAAAAAAATGTTAGAGAGAGAAATCATGTGACATTAATCTAATCCATTAATCAAAAGGTTTAAAAAGGCCGATGTGATCTTACACTACATCTTACGAGAGAAAATAAGAAATATAGAAATTAGAATAAGTGTATATCGATTATCTATGTAGTTGATTACATTAACGTATGAAAACATGACAAAGATGAGAATCAGTTAGGAGAATGGCAGAACAAAAAATCATACTACCAGCTTAGGAAGAAGATATGTCAAGAAACATAAACTCGAACAGCAGCCACGGGAAATGGCCAAATGGGTGAGGATATGTAGAGGATTAGACTATCTTGTTCATATTCATATAGTTACAGTTAAAAAAAAGAGACGATGTTTGTGGGAAGGAGGTATAGTTGCTTGGGTCGGTGTGATGGAAAAACTAAAGAATAATATGCTAATAGCTCGCCGTTAATTCAGCATATAACTTCAGGGCTCATGTCCGTATCTAGTGGCATGTTTAGGTCAGGGAGCAAGAATGAGGAGCCTTGTTGGAAAGCACGTTTGCAGGACAAGGCAGATTGTGATTCAGCCTGCACACATATGCATATAATCTAATTGAGTTACACGTTTACAAGTGAATGCCTGGTGAGCAAGGAAAAAAAAACAAAATAGAATGGTAAATGTCTAAAAGAGAGAGAGATGTGGTTACCTTCATCTTCTTTAGAGCATTGTTTCTTGTTCTTTGTTCCTCGACCAAATTGCGCATGCGTGCTAATTCCTGATTAAAGAAAAAAACAATAGCCAATGCTGAGATTATCACATAGACAATAGATAGAGAGACATGAAGAAAAGCCAAAATAAGGTTTGTACATTTTTCAGGCCTTTGCTTTCCTTCAAGAGCATGACTTCCTCATCTTTAAGCTCCGCCAAAGTCTATCAAAAAAGACGCAATGATTAGACAAAACTGGCCGATATGTAATGAAATCCTTGGCTGAGCTCAAAACTATACATCTAAACATATTCAAACAAGCTATGGATACTTCCATTGTTAATAGGGATTAATATTAACAGTGCCAATAAATAAAGAAACAGTACGTCTTTTCATTTTTACCTTTTTCTTCCTTGATCTCTTGAAAAGAGTTGTTGTTGTTGTTGTTATTGCACCCGTTTGAGAAACCTGGACACCAAAACCCAAAATTCAGATTTTATGACTTACGACTTACGACACCACCAGATAAAGCCAGCTAATAATCAATAATCACATCAAACTGATTCCATAAAAACAATTTAATTTTGTTTTAATTTATCATTTCTGTATAGAAACTACACACCTACCATTCAGGAGAGACTTTAGGGGGACGTAACAAATGAATCATTGAATCATCTCTAGTTTAGCATTAAACAATTACAACTCTAAAACTTCGTGATCTTTAAAAAACCATTCAAGCCGTGTAAAATTCAGAAGAATCTTCTTGGTCAACAACTTATACCCCTCGAAAGAAAAAGAGAAAACATAAAGAGAAAGAAGCATATACTATTTGGAAAAAAACTAGAATCACGTGAGTGGAGCGTGAGTTATGAGACTAAAACGCGTGTGTTTGGTCGTAACATTCACACGTCATGATGCTTTCTCCTCCAACCCAAACTAGTGTCACGTATTCTTCTCACTGTCCACAACACCACTTGTCCTTATTTATCGTTTTTTAATTTAAACCCAAGAATTTATTTCCTTTAGTTGAAGACTCTCTACTTTGATCCCAACCGGAAAAAAATATTAACAACCGATCAAAGTCAACTTAAAAATCAGACAACAATCTTAACTAATGTTTCTTTTCGTTTTAAATATTCATGCTAACCCAACAGACTGTTACCAATATAGTAGCCTCACAGACAAATCACAAGAACCTACAATTAAGAAAAAATCACAAAAACCTAGTCACTTTGCAACAAACTGACTTTGACTGAGCCTGAGCCCATAATATATAGAGATTATTTGCTCCCACACCCTTTTTGGGGTCGATATTAGAGAAATGCCCTTGATGGGACTGATCTCTTTTTTATGACCAAATTGCCCTTTCTCTCTCTTTCATGCATGTGGGTTTGTCAGATTTTTTTTCCTTTTCGTTAGAAACACTCTCTCTCTTTCTCTCATTCTTTCTTCAATTATATTTGTTCTCTTCTCTTCTCTTTTTCTTTCTTTTCTCCCTGTAATTTAATTGAATGTTGAAAGAAAATTTGTTATTTTTTTAATCTACTTTGATTTTTAAAAAAGAAAGTTAAAAATCTATCAGTCTGTTAACACATCCGATACGTATATTTGTTAACAACTAACACCTCTGTTAACATCGGGAACATGTTTTTGTTAACAGCTTAAATATCTGTTAACATCTACATTATTTATTAACAGCTAACATCTACGTTACCATCTTTGGTACATCTATTTGTTAACATCTAATATCTTTGTTAACATCTACAATATTTATTAACAGCTAATAATTCGGTTACATATATTCGTTAACATCTAACACTTCTGTTAACAAATATTATAGATGTTAACTATCGATAATAGTGNATAATAGTGATTATTTCCGGCGATTTTAAAGAGATGTCAATAAATTTAATTTTATTATGGGGTGCTTTGTTTAGTATGTCAATTGATTTTTAACGTAAGAAAAAAATATCTAGAAGAAAAAATGTGAAAGTAAAGAAACTATAATAAAAGATAAAGAGAGAAATTGAAAGAGAGAGAATGTTGCTTCAAAAGAAAGAGATATTGTCATAAGGTTAGCAGTGTCCAACCAAGGTGAAATTGTATAAAACTTTACAATTATGTCAACTCATGTATAAATCACTAATATAAGGTCCAAATATGGGTATTTCCCTAAATCTCTCTAATATATAACTTCCCTCCCCACTAAACTCTACCACACACCCACCTAATCCACTCATACTCTAAACCTAAATTCAAGTCTACGAAAACGCCTCCCAAACCCCAATAAATTATAAATAACGCCAGCGATTATCTCTCGCATTTTATCGATATACCCTTGACCGTGTAAAGGAGCTCATCTTATGACAAGGGGTACTTTTATCATTTTATAGGTAATGAATGTGTTTCTTTTTTTTTTTCTTGTCAGCAATAAAGTCTGCATCGGTGAATTAGGCCATCTTTAACGCGGATCCTTAATGAGATCCTTAGGTATAATAGGTGATTTAATTAAATCAAAAGAAAATAAAAGCCAGATTACCGATCCTTATATGGAGATTTTGTGACCGGTTTTTTGAGAGGTTTTTAAACTACGTGTCAACACCACATTTTTTTATTTTATTTTTCTTTTTCTTTCTTTCTTTCTTCGTCTTCTCCGTCTGTTCTCGGAGATCACGCATCAATCTCATCACCTTCTTCTCTAGCTATTCTCTCAAAGATCACCGGTGGAAATCAAGGACATAATCCTCCCCAAATAACCCTAACAGAATCCACCACTGCTCCCGATCCTCGAGTTGTATACTTGGAGATGACAGCCGCCGAGATTCTCAGCGAAAACAAAGACCTCTTACTCTCCCACGATTTGATGGAGAGACTACTCAACGACCGTATCTCCGGCGCCTTCTCCTCCGCCAAACCTCCTTTCCCGTATCTCGTCGCCTGCTTCCGTTTCTTACGGCAGGATTCACTTGGCGAATCCAAACATGTTTGGGAGCTCGGATAAGCCCAGTGTCGGATTGAAGAAGAGGAATGTCTCTCCTTTGCTTCCTTTGATCTTCTCCGAGGTTGGTTCTGGACCTTCTGGTTCGTTGAATATGTTTGGAGGTGGGAGTAGTAGTAGCAGTGGCGTTCAGTCTCCTCCGGGGTTTTTGGATGAGTTTTTCAGAGACTCGGATTTTGATAACTTGGACGTGATTCTCAAGGAGTTATATGAGGACTTGAGTTCTATAATATATTTTGGTGTCTGTAGCTGCTTGCAGGTTGAATCAAGGTGAAAAATGGGTTCCCTAAGGCTATGGAACTCGTTGGAAATGATAACTGTAAGCCGTAGTTTCGAACTCTTTTCTCTTTCCATAGAGGTAAGCTTATTTATATCTCTGTTTCAAATTTGCCTATTTTTTTTCTGCTGAAACAGAGGTTTGATTTGGAGTAATCATGAGCTTGTTGTGTTCTTTGATTTTGGTTTGGCTTTCAAACAATCCTTTTTTTTACTGAATGAAGCAAATTTTGATGTGGTAAACTAATCCTTTTTAGTTTAAGGTATATGAACAACTCCGAATCATGAATCCCACATGATCTTGTTCCCCTTTTGTGGCTGCGTTTTGGATGATGTTGTAGTGTTCTTTTTTTTTTTTTTTTGTCACACTATCAGGAGAATTTGGAAACATTTTAGCTGTTCCACTGAATTCGAATTCTTCTTGTTTTGCAGGAGAAGCGTCAATGGATCGTGAGACCAGAAGAAGAAGGAACAAGAGTGACCACAGATGATATTACTACCTACTTGCAGGTTCTTTACATGTGTTTGCTTACTTGTAAAATGTTTTTTTTGTGAGATGGAATCGCTGCATTGTTTGGTCTTTGAATGCTCTGTTTGATACTGCATTGTTTGGTTTTGTTTTCTTGAACAACAAAAAACAACATTTTTTAAAAAACCTCTAAATAAGAAACTACCATTGGAGGGTATGAACCAAGATGTTTCTTAAAAAGTTTCTTAATTACATTTAATTAGTAAAATACTCATGAAGAAACCCAAATGGGATTATAGGGATAATCATGCTCTTAGACCCAAAAAAAACACATCCCTTAATGTGAGGTCTTTTTAGTCTTTCCGTAAAAGCAGAAAGAGATGCACCAAAAGTGGGAAACGTGACTCTTTGTTTTGCAAAAACGAGCAAAAAAGAACGAAAAAGCAGAGATGACCGAACTCATCAGTTTCAAACTCAGATCGAGTAAGTGTTTCCAAGAAGACAACTAAATCTAAAGATAGATTTAGTTTCTTGGAAAAGAAAAAAAAAATCTTATTTTTTGAGTCCACGGTGGGGGTATTTCTGTCAACCAAAAAGTCGTTGTACTACATGATGATCTCACGAGTAAACCGATCGTGGATCCTAAATGACGAAAATACCCACAAGCAAACAACTAAAAAGTCTCGTCGTGTAGGTAAGGCCAAGGATATAATCGGAAACTAAATCACCCCCTCCCCCAAACAACAAGGAAACTCAATGACACACACAGAGTCAAAAAACAGTGGTCAGACTCAGACATACCTTAGATCTAATGGTCTCGGAGGGTTTAACGGTGGCACTGGACTCCTCAAGGCCTTCCACGGTGGTAACACCACCGCCGCCGACGCCGCCGCTGAGTGACGTGGAACCGTTCAAGGAAAGAGGAGTGGTGGGGCTAGCTCGCGTTTGGTCTCCTTTTCTTGACCTCCGTTGACGCACGCTCCATTTCAGCTTGATGGGAGATGCGTCGCTCTTCTTCGGCGGTTCAGAGTGACGGAGCTGAAGCAAAGCGTCGGCCACCAACGAGTCGTCAGACATGGCCACGCAAGTCCAGTTTTCGCTTGACATGGTCTGAATCTTCAACTGTTTAAGAGAGAGAGAGAGAGAGATAGAGAGAGAGGGGAGAGGAGGTGGTGGTGGTGGTGACGAAAAAGTAGAGAGGAAGAAATCTCTGTGGCGAATTAATGGGTGGATTTTGTATATATATTGAGTTTACTCTTTTCGTAATATAATAAACTTTTTATATTTCGTTTCTTGATAAGTGTGGGACCCCTCTTAAATATGTACGTGGCATAGACCATTTGTGGCATGTTTTTAAAATTCTATCGTGTGTTGGAATATGTTAGGGTAGCGTTGCGCATGACTATTCAATTTGTTGGTCACGTCAACCCCTTACTCATGGTGCGGTATGGAACAATGGAAATACATATCATTTTTTTGTTCAAAACATATGATGTGGTCGCATTATTCATGCTAGACTAATAAAGAAACTATAATTCATAAGACAGAATAATCTACAAGAGAGTCCTTTTTTAGTTGTTAAACCATTCATTATTTTTTAACCAACCACTGATAATGTATTCATGTATATTTTTTTTTTGAAAATATGTATTCATGTATATCAAACTCAAAAGATGCGTATATATCAAATTCTTCTTCAAAAAAAAAAAAAAAAAAAAAAAAAAAAAAAATTCTTCTAAAACAGAAATAGCAAGTCTAAGAGCTTTTGTCTTAGATTTTTCAGGAAGGTGTACCCGAAATGTTATTGTAATAAAGTTATAAGAGCATGATTAGTGATAAATATCTCACCATGCGTTTCTAGCATATATAATAATAATATTAATTACATTTTTGATTAACATTTAAAATTTAAAAGTAAAATAATAGGAGGATGACATGTTGAAAATTAATCTCTCAATTGTCAGAGAAAATTTCCCCAGCAACATACGTATCTTTTTTATGCCCTCACACTTTTTACATTTTATATTTAATTTCATTTGAACATTCGTGAGAGACTAAGCTAGAGCTTGCTACTAATGAATAATGATGGTCTAATGGGAGCGGGATAGTATTAAGTTGAGGAAACAAGAAACCAGCAATGACCATACAAAATAGGGTTTGCGAGTGAATGACTTTTAGACACGTTTCAGTTGCAAGGCAAGCATCCATGTGTGTGTAAACACCAAGCTGTAAATAGCACGTGTCCTGATAGTAATGTGTTCGTGCAATATACATCCTTTGTTAAGCGTTGATATTCATATCAGTGGAACACATACCTCTAGCTCTTGACCTTAGATTGTACGAAGGCAGTCAAACGAACTAATATTTACATTTGTGGCATATTATTTACACTTATCAGTTTTGCTTAATAAGAGATAGTATCTTATGGTTTACCGTTGTTAGTAATTCATAAACCATACTCTTTACAGTTAAAATTCATTTCTGATCCCATTTCATCAAAATCATCCCAGTCTCAGCATATTTGTTAAGAAAATGCCACCACTCTCAATCGTCGGGTGCTAGACATTCTATCCAATTGAAATAATTTTTTATAAGAAAATATCAACTTTTCTGTGCTTGATCATTGCCACGAGAAATCTGAATAGAGTAAAGCCCACAAAATGTTTTTTTTTCATTTGTAATCAAGAACATTGCATTCTTGTTTTGTTGGTTTGTTGCATTTTCTTGTTGGCAGGCTTAAGACTAGAAAAGAAACTCAATGATGGAATAAGAATTCTAAATAATTGTAAAATCTTATTAGTTCTGTAAATGCAATAAAACAAGAATATCTCAAAACAAATAAAGCAGCCAACAGCCACTGCTAATAAAAAGAAACATTTCTTTTCTTTTTTCTTTTTGCAGTATTTTTCTAATGATGAAGGTGGTGGTTTATTATTCAATACTCTTGTGGTTTTGGTTCTAAACTAAACTGAGAAACACTTGTTTCTGAAAATCACAGGGTGTAGTGTTGCTGGATAGCCTCTATGTCAAGTCCTTTCTGCTTCACTACTGATTCCACGTGACCTTTCAATGTATGACGCTCTCTTAACCTTAAAAATTATAAGACAAAGAAAAGTGTTAAGACCATATTCTAAGGAACAAAATGCTATGGATATTAGTCAGTTTTTTTAAGCATTACCTTGCTACTTCAGCTCGTCTCTTGGCCTGATCTGCTATCTCTGAAAGTTCTCTGTAAGTGCTCTTATCATTAAATATCTCTGAGGGTTGAGCTGGTTGCAATCCATGAAGGGTACGTTGAGCTTGTGCCCATTGTGCTTCCCTCTCTCCCTTTCCATAGTCTTTCTTTGATGTGAAAGCGGTCTGAAACAAAAGTAACAAAGTTAGAAACAGTACTACTGCAACAAAAGGACTAGTGTTTCTGTTCTTGTTCTCACCTTGTTCTCAATAACATTATCCCAAGCTCTACCACTTAGTGCATATCTGATGATGAACTTGAGAATATCCAATGGAACGTAAGTAACTATACTGTATAGCCAGATAACTCCTGCCCATCCCCACCCAGTACCTCTGATTCTTGCAAAACCCCAGTTTGCGTACACAGCAATGAGAGTAGCAATCTTATGTCAAAGAAAAACAAGAACAGTGTCAGTACATTGAATCTTTTGTATTTAAGAAGAACAACAGCTTTTAACTAACCAGCTGAGCTAAGAAAAAAGCAGCGATCAACCAGAAGCCAGGACGTTCAGCATATGACCAGCTACGTGACCTTGTCACAAAGATAAGCGCCTGGCTAATGATACTAACTTGGAGGTAAATAGCTGCTGTAAGCTCGTGTGGATTGCCACTGATAGATCTTACTCCAAACTTTGCCTGCACCAGGAACACTTACTTGAATCTGATGAGTTCAAAAGTGCTCATTAGTAAGTTAAGAGTTCTCTTACCGAGAAGAAGTCAGTGCTCTCTGCAGCCCAGAAGAAAACAACAGTCATCACTGCAAGGTAAGTGCCAAGAACCACACCAGTGGCAAATATCTCTTTGAGTTTCCATGAATCAGGAAGTGGAGAAGGCTTTACTCTATCCTTTGATATGGTCATGATAGTACCATCGTTAAGGATTGCTATCACCAAGACCATGAATGGTGAGAAGTCATACTTCCATATGAGTGCAAGGAGCATAAACCCCATGACTACACGGATTGTGATGGAAACTGCATAGATTGTGTAGTTTTTCATTCTCTGGAAGATGGCTCTGCTAGTTAGGACAGCACTAACTATGACACTGAGACCTGGCTCGGTTAGTACAATGTCAGATGCGCTTCTCGCTGCATCAGTTGCATCAGCAACAGCTATTCCAATGTCAGCTCTCTTGAGAGCTGGAGCATCGTTAACTCCATCACCAGTCATGCCACATATGTGTTTCATCTCCTGGAGCCTCTTCACAATCTCATACTTGTGTTCTAATCAAACATATAAAACAGTGAATACATGAATCCATTAAGAGAACATGTTTTCATTAGTGTATTTTACCAGGGAAGACACCGGCAAATCCATCAGCCATCTCAATGAGTTCATCAACAGGAACACTAGATATAGATTCATCTTTATCGTTCCCAAGTAGAGCAGAAGAAGGATACATATTTGTGCCCATACCAAGCCTACGACCAGTTTCCTTACCAATGGCGAGCTGGTCACCAGTGATCATCTTGACATTGACACCAAGGTCAAGAGCACGCCTGATTGTCTCTGCACTGTCATGTCTTGGAGGGTCAAAGAGAGGCAAAAGACCAAGAAACTGCCATGGCTCTCCAGGGCTGTTCTTGTCTTTCTCAGAGACAGTCTATTAATAGCCAAAACATGAAAAGAACATTAAACAAAGAAAGAAACACATATTTGTCTTTAAGGATTAGCACTAAAGCTTTTACCTGTCTGCCAACAGCAAGAGAACGAAGTCCTCTGTCAGCAAACTTGTCAATGATGTCATGAGCTCTCTTCTTTGTATCCTCTCTAAGGTTACATAACTCAATGATCTACAATTTACAGAGACCAATCAGTGAGAAAGAACTTAAAAACTCTTTAGAGAAGAAGAATATGCAAGCATTTTCTTACTTGCTCTGGTGCTCCTTTGCTGACACGGTGCCAGTTTCCATTAGCATCAATATAAGTGATAGCAGTACGCTTATCCACAGGGTTAAAAGGAAAGAAATGGACTTCAGTGATACCCTCTCTTGCTTCTCTAGGATCTCCAAGCATTCCCACAATACAAGCATCAATAGCATCCTGGTTCTCAACTCTGGAGGCTCTTGCTGCATTCACCATAAGCTGTTCCTTGTCCAAATCCTTAACAAAAACCTCAACCATACTCTTGTCAACAGTAAGCTTGTTGAGTGTAAGAGTCCCAGTCTTGTCACTGCACAAAACATCCATCCCAGCCATCTCTTCAATCGCTGTCATCCTCTTTGTGATAGCTCCTTGTTGGGAGAGACGGTGAGAACCAATGGCCATGGTGACAGACAAAACAGTTGGCATTGCAATAGGGATACCTCCAATGAGAAGCACAAGAAGATTGTCTATACCATCTCTATAAGAACGGTGCTGAATAGGATACATCACAACGATCTCAATGATCATACCAATGGCTATGGAGCAGATGCAGAAGTTACCAATAGCAGTCAACACTTTCTGGAAATGTCCTTCTTGGTTTGTGCTGTCTACAAGATGAGCTGCTTTGCCAAAGAAAGTGTGAACACCAGTGGCGATCACAACAGCTTCTAGCTCTCCTTGTTTGCAGGTGGAGCCAGAGTAGACTTCTTGGCCAGGGTTCTTGGTTACTGGTAGAGACTCACCAGTGAGAGCAGATTGATCAATCTTGAGAGGATCACCTTCCAGGAGACGACCGTCTGCTGGAACAATGTCACCTAGTTTGATGCTGATGATGTCTCCAGGAACCAGTATAGCTGCCTCTTGCTCGCTCCACTTGCCATCTCTCAGAAGCTTTCAAATTGATTGATATGCATATTAGGTAATCATCCCTTTGTTTAAAGCAATGTTTTGGTAATAACTTACTTTAGTTTTGGGAGCTAAACCGGCCATCAAAGCGGCTGCCGCGTTTCCGGCGTTGTTTTCTTCAATGAAGCTAATGGTAGAGTTAATGATAAGAAGAACCGTGATACCCACGAAATCTTGCCAATCCGGTGGCCTTCCCTGCAGATTTTAACAAGTTGGTTTCAAAATGTGTTAAAAAGTCAGAAACAGAGGAGGTGAGGTAGTTAAGGTGATATTACTCCTCCGTTGGCCAAGGCGATAGCCATGATAGCTGCTAACTCCATGACCCATGAGAGAGGGTTCCACATAAATCCTAAGAACTTCAAAATCTTGCTTTCCTGTTTGATTGAAATATGTTAAAAATAGGCTTTCTTGGGAGTGAAGAAACACAAAATAAAAATGAAATGAATTAGGTCTTATTTAAAGGTATTTGCCTTTTTCTCTTCGAGCTTGTTAGGACCAAAGATCTCGAGACGAGTATGGCCTTCGTCGCTCGTGAGTCCTTCTCTTGTACATCTCAGCTGCGTAAACACCTCCTCGATAGGTATTTTCTCCTGTTCAGTCAACAAAAGTAGTTAGCGTGCTGTAAAAGATATCGAAAACGTAAAGCTAAGATGGAGAAGAATCAATAGCACTAACGAGATCGATGCCTTCGTTCTTGATATCGTCCCAGCTAGAATCTTTCCCTGCCGCCATCTTGGTTTTTCAGAAACAGGGGTTGTTTTCTCGTATAAACTTTTCTTTTTAAAACTCTTTCTTGACTGATAATTTCAAAGTTTCTCTGCAGTTTTTGTGTGTGTTTTCAAACGATAATTTTCTCTCGATCTTTTTCCTTTTTTCTGTTGTTATTTTAACGGAACAGAAGAAACCAAAAGGGAGAAAAACAGAAACAAAAAAAATATATTTTTTTGTAAAATTATTTTTTGGAAGAAACTGGTGTTGAGTTGCAGTGTTTATATAAGGTATGGAGAGAGATAAGTGTCTGAACAGGTCCTTCGCTTCACTTCCCGCTTTCTTCTCCTGCTTCCACTAATCAACTTCCACTTGTCTTTTTCTCTCTTTCTGTGTTCTTTTGCCAAAATAACCATAACCACATTTAGGAGATTTTGCTCAGAGTGAACGAATGAGATTAAAAAAGCATTAGCTATTGCAAGACACTTGCATGATTGATACTCATTACTCCCTTTTGGATGATAGTTTGTTTCACAAAAGAAAATAAAAAATTGTGTATTATATTATCTATGCAAAATGCGTATAATTTTGTCTATTTAATTCTTGTATTTGTTAATTTATAAATTGTAGAATACGGAGAAGCATTAGGAGGGAAAATGTATTTCATTATGTTTTAGAGAGTAGTACATAGACAAAACAATTCGTGTATAAGACCAAAACGATATGTAGAAAGCTAAAAACATCATCCACTGAAGGGAAGAAGAAATCACACTAAAAAGCAATGATGAAATCTCATTTTCTGCCGGTTGTTGTTACTCTTGGCTTCGGCTTAACATCGGCCTCCTGCAAATTCATTAAAACCAAATCAATACACACTACTCCGACTAATAATGTTTGGAAACATGATTAATATGTTTACCTGTAGCAGGTGCAAGAAGATGCTGCTTTTCGCAGTTGCCGGGTTGTGGTTCTCTGCACCTTTGCTCCAGTCATAGCACGACTACAATACAAAATGGAAAGAAAAACATTACTTTTACTCTTACTTTCTCCAAAAGTCATTTCTCCAAAGTCGGTTTTGCAGATGTAACATCATAATTAAAAAAAAATGAAAACAAAGAAGATGTAGCATACCGCATACGCATATATCGACCCATCGTGGTTAAACGAACTGCAAGTAATTGGCTGATTGCACCTTGACATGCCCTGACATTCATCAGTGAACAATGCACACAACTGTTAGATATTTCTATATATTAACAAGACAAAAATCTCAATGAAAAACACTATGATACCTTGAGTTTTGTTTTGCTATCCTTGTCCCAGAAATTGAACGCCCCATCGGAGCCAGCAGTGGCAAAAGTGCCATGTACCTTCATATTACACAACTCAAACAGTTACCATCTTTACAATCCACTTTCATGGTGTTGAAGCTTAAGACTACAGAGCCATAAAGAGCTTACCGGGTGGAAGTTCATAGAGTTGACAGAATAGATCTCATTCCCATCTCTGTGGCATTTGAATGTGAAGTTTTTGCTCTCTTGAGCATCATCCAGATGGTGGACACCAACCCGCCCCTCAACTGAACCAACCTATATATATAGAGAGAGAGAGAAAGCATCGGATCAGGTTCTATATTAAACATTTTGTGTGAATTAGATAAGATGTGACTCTGATTAAACAGCTTCCAACACCGTTATACATTATTTGTCAAGCTTGAAAAGGACAACATTTGTATATACAAAGTGTGTGAGAGTAATGCAAAAATGTAAGCATCAGCAAACAACTTAGATTAATGTACCATTGAATTAACCAAAACACGGGCGAGAAGATATATAAGAAGACCTACCAAAAATCCTTTCTGATCAGGGAAGGCAGTAACACACCTCGTCTGGTACTTTAGTGGTGACACGATTCTCTTGAACTCGGTCTGCAGTTTACCAAATTATTAAAAAGTTCACACAAGAGAAATAGTAAATCTCATGGTCGAAAAGCCTTTCACGAGTCACTAAGACAGACTACAGGCTTATTCAACTGATCCATATCCATATTGGTGCTAAATTGATCATAAATTTTCAAAATCATGTGATGCTCAGCATTCAAAGCTCACACACTCATAAAATAGAAAAACAAGAAAGGAAAAAAAATCACACCTGAGGATTTTGCAAGTTGAAGACAATCACATTCCTATTTGCAGTTCCGACAACCAACAGAGGATGTTTGAGAGACAATGAGTAGCATTTATCTGGAAGCTGTTGTGTATGCACAGCACTTTGCTGCCTTGTATCCCAATATCTGGAAGGAAAACCAATACACATTGTTAACTAAACCATACTTCAAGCATTATATCATCTGCCTTGATTTCGCCATATTAACATAAAGAACAATCAAATCTTACTTCAAAGTCTTATCCCAGCTTCCAGTAACGAGGAGATTCATTCCAGGGATCCAGGCCATGTCAACAATAGGAGCATCGTGCATAGCAACAGTAACAGGCTGACCACCTGACAACAAAGGCCACATTTTGGCTTGCTTATCACATCCTCCACTAAAAACAGTGGTTCCATCATCTTTCCAAGCAGAACACAAGACCTTCATCAAAATAAAAAGTAAAAGAATACACAATCATCAGACTCTATGCAAAAAAAAAACAATCAAGAAAGTAACAAGATATTACCGGCTGGTCATGAGATATAGATGCTTTTGGAGCACTTGCTAGAGAGTTTCCGCTACGAAATATCTCCCAACACCTCACCTGCAACAAAGACGAAGCAAGTCCACATAGAGATTTAAGAGAGTCCACAAGAGATAGCCTCTCGAGGTATACAATACAAAACCACTGTGGTACGACTAAACGTTTTAGATTTTAATCAAAGAAACATCAAATAAACCTGATTGTCCCAAGAAGTGGCGACGAGATGATCAGCTCTTGGACTAAAACTTAAGCTCGAGATGGAATCTGATGGAGATGGAGTAACCTGCACGAAAACTGAAACCGTTAACGATAGAAAACCTAAAGCTATAACTTCTCAACACAGAAAGAGAGTAATCAATCGCCATGGAAACGTAGAAGAGTTACCTCATAGGATTTGTTAGGGTTAGTGTACGCTGCCGCACCAAAGGTAGCCATCCTCACCAGCCAAAGTCACTGTAAAGAAGAGCAGATTCAGGAGACGAAATCGCAAAAGTAAACGAGCTTTTATCAGAGGGAGAATCGGATGAGAGAGATACCTAGAGAGAGAGAGAGGAAGATCCGTCGTCGGAGATAAGACTTTTCCGTTAAGCAGAGGAGGGAAAACGAAGTTGAGTCGCAAAATATAAATGGGAGAGAGAGGAGTATTTATAGAGGGTCCCACTCTGCGTCTTGTTGACGCTCGTGCGTCAGTTATACGTCCCAGCGAAACGACTATCTGGCGCTACTCACCTAAAATATGGACAAAACTAAATGGGCTTACTTATTGGGCTTTTAGGCCCATTTATATTATAGGAGTCAGGTAACGGATCCTAACCAAACTTGGCGGATCTGACAAACTTTTGAGAGCTTTACCTCCCTCTCCATCAGCGGCTTAGAGTGTGTAGTAGTAAGTAGAAGACGAAGGGCTTCAGGAGAAGCGGGACGGTTTTAGATCGTCGTCGCCGCCGCCGCCGCCCTTCAATCATGGCGTCTCTTTCTATTCTCCCAGCTTCTGGTAAGTCTCAAAACTGTTTCTAGTGAAGCTTGTGTAGACTATTGATTTTTTTTGTTTACGTGTAGCTTTCGGTTAGAGAATCAACTTCGTCTATTGATTTCATTAAGTTCTTAAAGAGTCGTTTGCATTGCTTAAGGTTTTTATCTGAACTTGTCAAGTTTAAGCATCTGCACGAACTCTTATAATCTGATATCGAATTTGAGCGTTGTTGACAGAGATTTCAACGATGGCTACAAGTTTGGACTCGCGAAAGAAAAGAAGGATCTCTTTAGATGGAGATTCTATCTTATGTAAGCATTACGAAGACATCAGAGATTCATTACCTATTTTGAATTCACCTGACTACTTCTTGAAACCATCCATGAACGAGCTGGTTAAGAGAGAAATTGAAAGCCCCGGTTATTGCAGCCGTGTTCCTGATTTCACTATTGGGAGGATTGGTTACGGTTTTATTAAGTTTCTTGGAAGTACAGATGTTAGAAGCTTAGACCTGGATCAGATTGTAAAGTTTAAAAGGCACGAGGTAATTGTTTATGATGATGAGAGATCCAAGCCTGCTGTTGGAGAGGGGCTTAACAAGGCTGCTGAGGTTACTTTGATTGTAAACATAGCTTGTGGGGAAGAGCGGGTGGATCATGTTTCTTGTAGATTGAAACAGAGTGCTGAAAGACAAGGGGCGACTTTCATCTCATTTGATCCTGAGGATGGTTTATGGAAGTTTTTGGTTCCTCATTTTAGTAGATTCGGGTTAAGTGATGATGAGGCAGAAGATATTGCTATGCCTATGGATGATTCTCCGGGTTTGGCGGATCATGTAGGACTTAATGGTGACATGGTGGTAGCTGACATTGATCAAATGGAAACGTCTGAGACAGAGCTTTCTCACTCTCTTCCAGCCCATCTAGGACTTGATCCTGGAAAGATGAAAGAAATGAGGATGCTGATGTTTCCTAAGGAAGATCTTGACGAAAGTGAAGATTTCAGAGATCAAAATTCCTTTCACAGGACATCCTTGACTAAACGAAACGTAAGACCTTCACAGAAAAGTTCTCAAAGAAATAATCATCAAGATACTCCACCGGTCGTGCGGAAAACTCCTCTTGCTTTGCTGGAGTATAAACATGGTAATGATAAAAGCTCCCCGGGCAGTATCCTGATGGTCCAACAAAATAAGAATCTGGCAGTGAGAAAGTCGAAAATAGGAGGTTTCGAGCTGGACATCAGCCATGAGACGCCGTTAACTGATAACTATTCCCGCAATGTTGTAGATGCGGCGTTATTCATGGGAAGGTCGTTCCGTGCAGGTTGGGGTCCAAATGGCCTCCTTTTTCACACTGG